CTACCGGGCTGCACGACGGGTTGGGCCACAGTTTCCCTGGGCCTCAGCGACCTGGCTACGCGGCAGGTTGGCCTTGGTTGGGCCTTGGCCTTTGTGACCAGTCTGTGGGTGGGTCGGGCCTCAGGGCAGGCCTTGGCCTTAGTGGGAGTGTCTGGGCCTTGGGAGGGCCTTGGCCTCAGTGGATGGGCCTGTGCCTTGCGCGTTTCTGAGCTTCGGCAGCGTGGCAGAGGGCTAGTCTAGGCCGGGGAAGTAAAGGGCTGGGGGTCGTGGCTGCAGGGAGGTAGTGTCCATATTTAATGACGTAAAAAATGCTTCTCTCAGTCTCTCTGTACCATGGGTACCCCGAATTTCCTGATATCCATGCTGATATCCCTCTGTATTTGTTCGGCTTTGTTAGTTTATGCTTCCTTTTCTCTGGAAATGCAGCCTTCTAAGTGGGGTTGCTCTAGCCCTGCATTCCAAGGTCTGCAGGGGGCAGAGGCACTAGCCAGCGTTTGCGTGGAAGCGGGAGCTTTGTGCAGGCAGGGAAAAGCTTAAAATGCCTGTAGTTCCTCAGCAATTTGATCTTTTAAAAAAACGAGTTCAGAATGTTGAAATATAAGAGCTTATGTTTGTTCAAAGTCTGTCTGTCTGCTAGACAGAGATTTCTTATGTGAGATTCCGCCCCTTTTCCCCGAGACCGCCCTACCTGAGCTGCCTGGTCAGGGAAGCGCAGGAAGTCGAAAATCCTCTCCATTAAGTTTTTAAATAAAAATTGTGCATTGAATGTAAAAGTTTTATTTAGGCAGGTGTTGATAACATATATTTATATTTAGTTGCTTGTTACTAAAGAACAAAAGGTTGCTTTTTTTCTCTTCAGGCATTGGGAGAGTCTTTAGGAAAAGGTGATGACCACAAAGACATGGATATCATTACTAAATTCCTCAAGGTATGTACTCCCAGGCTCGGAAAGGAGAACGTTTTGATTAGTTAAGAATTGTTCTTGAATTTTTCAATTATCAAGGGTTTAAAGACTGGAAAGGAAAGCTCTTAAACATTTTTTGACTCTATACTTTGTGTATGTGTAATCCTGGTGTGGTGCTCTAAGATAAGCATTGGAGTACTAATTGTGTGGAGTCTGTGAGTCAAACCCACCTGATGCTTCTCAAAGAGTTGCTGTAAGTTGGAACTGACTCAACGGTTCTTAACAACATCAACAACAATAACTGGTTTTGTTATTGTTATGAACGTAAAGATTTAGAATTAATCAGAGAAAATGTATCTTTTCTTCCCTTGTGACAATTCTCTTTAAAGCTTATTATTATAAATATATAGAAAAGAATGAGAAGTTGAGGAGTGCCTTATTTGTTTATTTTAGCATTCTAGGAAGGAGTGCAATGAGAGGAAGGTTCCAGAGCTATTCGGGAAGGGTGATTGCATTGGGAAAGGAAGAAGGTGGGAAGAAATGGCAGTGAAAACCAGAAATACATCAGTAACCTTTGGAGACGCTGTTCTTTTTTTTTTAGGTCTACAGATCCTACCTATTCTTGCTGTGATTCGCTCTTTCCATTTATTGTTACAGCATGTCCGTATCTAATGGTCCAGGCAAAGTGTGGGAAAATCCCAGACTCAATCAACATTTACTCACAAACTATTATTGCTGTCTGTCCAGAAGATTTAAATGTTAGAAGTACAAGATATTAACTGATTAAAATATCATAACTTAATTTGATAATTATCTTTTACAGCTTGCTTACATACAACATTGGTCATCAATATTCAGAGTATATTGGGGATATAGTATGGGACTTAAGAAATGAATTAGAATTTCCTCTATGAGTGGTGGCCTCTTCTTGTATTGAATATCTGTATCCACTAGAGGGACATGTTGTTCTCAACCCTCACTGTTTGCATGTCTCTAGTAAGGGTGTACTTTATACAGCTAAACTCAAGGGGCATGAGGGAGTTTTCTTGAGGAGGGTGAGGGTAGGAAGGGATTGTCTATCTTTTTTTTAATCCCTGTTTCTTTGGTGTTTTTTTCTTTTGTCTGACACTTTAGTGGAAACTTTTAGTTAAGTTGTGAACTCTTACAAGAGACAGTCCAAATGCTACAGTATTCTTGGAAGTTGTTGTTAGGTGCCATCAAGTTGGTATGTACTCATGATGACTCGATACATCACAATGAAGCACTGCCCAGGAGAAAGGTCTCTAATACTATGTTTGTGACTTGCTGAAGGCACAACTTCAAAATATATAGGAAAAATAAGCAGGAATAGTTCCTTAGTTAAATACCATTTGATGATGCACCTGCTCCTTACTTAGAGACAGGGTTACGTTCTAAAGACACAGTTGTTTTATAAAATCAGTGTTATGCCAGCAAGAGGAGACTGCAGAGGTGGCCCCAGTGCCCTTGGCATTACTTTGTCCTCAGTACCTGTGTGCTCTGGACCCCAAGGCCCTGCTGGCAGGGTTGAATCTGGGGCCCCAAGGCTGGACCAGAGGCATAGGTGACTGCTCTGACTCTTGGACAGACTGTGGGGCCAGAGGTCAAGACAGTCAGTTAGAGTTGCTGCCTGTGCCCCTGCCCACTTCCTCTGGCTTGCTGGGAAGATCCCACAGAAACAAATGACACTGTCGTCTTGGAGGGATTGGAAACTGAAGCCAACAGCCTGGAGGCTAACAGCTCCTAGGAAGAGGAGCTCAGTAGCCCAGGCCATGGGGAAGGAGGAGGTGGCCAGTTTCCACTGCAGGCTCCAGGCCCCAAATTATCCCCAGTACCCTCCCCATTGCAGGACTTGGTCCCTCCAGGGCACCAAGTAAAGAAGAATAGCAGCAGCAGCCTCCACTAGCCCTGTCACATCTTGAGCCCCTCCAGCCACTCATGGACCCTTCTTAGACGGGCTCCCTCAAAATCCGCCTCAGTTGCCACTTTCACAGAAAGAGCTGTGGCTCCTTCTTTGGGGGTGGGCCCAGCAAGTAGCCTCTGGAGAGCTGGCTGCTTCAGCTGCGAGTCTGACAGGCAGGGGTGGTGCTGTGGGCAGGAGCCCAGATTAATGTACAAATGGTTGAACAGTAGGTTTTATATTATTGCCATAAATGTGAAATGTCAGACAACGAGAAAGCTGTTAAGTGAGGAGTAGATGTAGCTTATGCCGGGAGAAATCAGCTTTAAGGGAGGCTGTACACTGCTTTTTGTGTCTGCGAACTTGTAAACGTATGGAACCACTGGGTGGCATTGTAGCCTAAATTTACCCTTTCTTTTAACAGTTTCTTCTTGGAGTTTGGGCTAAAGAATTGAATGCCAGAGAAGATTATGTGAAACGAAGTGTACAGGGTAAACTGAACAGTGCTACTCAAAAACAGACTGAGTCATACCTCAGACCACTTTTCAGAAAGTTACGGAAAAGGGTGAGGTTTCTTTTAAAATGCTCTTAACCAACCTTTATTGTTGTGAATAAAATATATAGGTTTAAAGTAAATGCAAATCTTGTCTTTCAGTTCACACAGTAGCTTCCAAAATAAAAAAGTTATTTTTTATTCTTTTTTTCCAGAATCTTCCTGCTGATATTAAGGAATCAATAACAGATATTATTAAATTCATGCTACAGAGAGAATATGTGAAGGTACTCTGAAATCATTTGCATCAAAATTATGGTTGTAAACATATCTGGGTTTATATACATTTTGCTCATTTGGGGTGGGGGCATTTTATGTGGCAAATTTATAAAAATAAATGTGAAATGGACTGCAAGTTTATTTTCTATTGTGTTGTCAACTTGATTGTTAGGGCATGAATAACAGACTTTTATCACTCTTAGGTAGGTCTAAAGGCTCTTGAGATAATGAACTGTATGAAGGCAATGTTTATTTTATGAATGGGATTGAATTTCAAAAGTTTGTAAATGGTTCATTATGACTTGGAACAATTTCCTCATAGAAACAACGTCAGACAGATTAGTAGTTTCCCAGGCTAACTATAAAGCCCACTTAATCCACAATATAGCTGAACTATTGTACTGATGATACAATGACATTTAACCACTCTTTATAATTATTTCAATGGGAAAATGTTCATAGCAAGGCTGCCAGAATTTATCTTTCCCATTTCAGTGCTGCAACAAACAGGCTCTGGGAGGAGGTGGCAGAGGGAAAGAGCTCTGCTTCAGATGGCTTCTTTAGAAGGTGGAGGACACAGGGCGTCCCACTGGTAAAGGGAACAAAAGAGAAGGGCCTGATGTACTATAGAGTGGAGACTGGAAATGGGATACTGCTTGATAGGCCATAAGCACAGTTTGAGGGAAGAGGCTCCTAGAATTGTCCCTTCCTAGAGTGTAGTTGGGAGTGTTGTTAGGTGCCATCGCCTCTGTTCCAGCTCATAGAGACACTACATACAACAGAACAAAACGCTGCCTGGTCCTGTGCCATCCTCATGGTTTTTGCCTTAATTGAGCCCATTGTAGCCACGTGTCAGTTCCATCTCAATGAGGGACTTCTCTTTTGTTGATCCTCTACTTTCCCAAGCATGATACCCTCCTCCTGATCACAGATGCAAAGTTGTTGTTGTTATGTGCCGTGGAGTTGGTTCCAACTCCTAGCGACCCTGTACAGGGTTTCCAAGGCTGTAAGTCTTTATGGGAGCAGAAAGCCTCATCTTTCGCCCGCGGAACAACTGGTAGTTTCTAACTCGCTTGCAGTTCGCAGCCCGATTCGTAACCACTACACTACCATTGCTCCTATATGCAAAGTACATGAGACAAAATCTCACTGTGCTAATTTCTAAGGAGCATATTGGTTGTACTTCTTCCAAGACAGATTTGTTCATTTTTCTAGCATTTCATAGTATAATCAATATTCATTGCTGATGCCATCATTAAAAGGCACCAATTTTCTTTGGTCTTCCTTATTCATTGTCTAACTATTGCTTGCATATGAAATAATTGAAAAGAACGAGCGTCCAGGGTCAGGCACACCTTTGTCCTCAAAGTGACATCTTTGCTCTTTAACACCTTAAAGAGATCTTTTGCAGCAGAATTGCGCATTGCAATACATCATTTGATTTCTTTCTTTTCCTTTGTCCTTTTTATTGTGAATTAAGTAAAGGTTTACTGACAGGATCATTAGTTTTACATTCAACAAGTCATATACTTTGTTTCATCTCACTGATTGCTCTCCTGCAACAACAGTTATCCCACTTCCTCCCTGGGCTTCCTAGTTCCATTCCAGCCAACTTCCCATCCCTTCTCACCTTTGTCCTTAGATTTTTAAATGATGGACTGTTCCACCATCATTCATAGTGAGTATACCTTATTAGTATTGTTGTCCTCCCCCACACACCCCCACCCCATGCTTCCTGCATGGTTCAATATTTTGGTCATAGATATTGCAACTTGAAGGTTGAATTTTTCCTTCACATCTTTTAGCTTGAGAAATGCTGAGAATGCTCTTCCCTTTTGATTTGAAACTTAAGGTTTTTGTATCACAGCAATACACAAGCCACCACAGCACAACAAACGAACAAGTGGTAGTCCAAGAGAATTTTGTTGTTGCTGTTAGATGCCATTGAGTCGGCACCGACTCATAGCAACGCTGTGCGCAACAGAACAAAACACTGCCCAGTCCGGGGCCAACCATCTAATTGTTGCTACGGCTGAGCCCATTACTGCTGCCCCTGTGCCAGTCTATCTCGTTGGGGGTCTTCTTTTTTTTTCTTCGACCCTCCACTTTACCAAATATAATATCCTTCTCCAGTGACTGGCCCCTCCTGACAACATGCCCAAAGTATGAGAGATGAAGTCTGGCCATCCTGGCTTCCAGGGAACACCAAGAGAGTAGGAATTGAGATTTTCAGTGCAACAGGTGCAGTGACAGTTTCAAAGCCACAGTTGGGACTCTGACAGAAAAATGAGATGATGTTGGTCACTGCTGTGCTCTTGAGTATTTGTACTCTTAGGAAGGTACTGCCTGCGTTCCTGATGATTTACTTGTTTAAAGCCTCAAGCTTATGAGGTTAAAATAGTGATTTTACTCCATGTAAGAGCATTTGTAACACTAGAGTAGGCAGTTCAAACCCACCATCCACTTCTTGAAATTGCTGTGCAGGGTCGCTGTAAGTCAGAATCAACCTAATGGCACTTAACAATAGCAAAGAGCTAGTTCGTATTTTTTTTTTTTTTTCAGATAAAAGATTTTTGTCTTTTGGTAAGAAAGTTCATTTTTGGTTAGTTTCTATATAAAGTGCATAATCCTAACTAAGGAAGATTGCATTGGGATGGCTGGATGAAGTTATTACCACTGTGAAAAGAATATGAATCACTTGCATACTAAAACAGATGCCTTTCTTCTTGTTACTTATTCTCATACCGTGTATGAGAATCGGGCGAATGTTCATTTTGTATAAACTCCAGTAAAGACCAAGAAACTTCCATAGTCGATTATGTAGAAATTAGGAAAATCTAATTAACTGGAACATTTTGTCATTGAATACTCAGTGTTAAAATTTACACGTGACTAGTGATAAAAATAGAGACATGCCCTCTTAAAATTGTTGTTGTTGTTGTTCTTAAGTGCTATGGAGTTGATTCCAACTCATAGTAACCCTAGATAGAGTTTCCGAGGAGCAGCTGCTAAGTTTGAATCACTGATCTTGTGATTCACAGTCCAGTGCTTATCCTACAGTGCCATACCATCTGTAGAGCAGAGAAAATTGAAGCGCATTGTTAGAATAGGAAATGGTCTTTCAGTTAGCCTATGCACAGTGTGTAAATTTTGTTTTTGTTAATCAGCTTTACATAGCACCTGGCTCTATGTGATTAGCACTGGACTTAAAACCACAAGGTTTGTGGTTCAAGCCCACCAACTGCACTGCAGGAGAAAGATGAGGTTTTCTGCTCCCACAAAGATTTTGTACCTCTTAAAAATGTATAAATGTAGATAGTTGTCATCAAGTTGATTGGTACTCTATATATATATAAATAAAGATATATATATATTTAAAACCTCTGAGACCCTTAAACAAGGTCACTATGAGTCAGAACTGACTCGATGCCACTTAATAACAAAACAACATATCACAAAGGTTTTTAATTTTTGAATTTAAAAATTCTTTGAGACCTGGCTCTATAAGCTTTCTCAAAACCCTCAGGGTCTTTAAAAAAATGTACCTGTTTTTTTGTTTTTTGTTTAATCTCCTCTTCTTATACTTCATCATTAGCCGAACTTGCTTTTTTAAAATAAAAAAAAAAGAGCCGTCATTTGTCTTCATTGATCTCTGTCTTCACTTCTTGTGAATCTTTTATTTTAAAACTTTTGGCAGGTGGGAGATTTGGAGAAGCCAAAGTGAAACGATCTCATTCTTTAGGTATTTGACTTGAAGGCCAGCATTTAATATCTGTTTACACATCTGTTATGGACCCTAGGTGATGTTCCCAGCACACAGAGCTCCCGCTGGCTGTGTTGAGAGACCTGCACTGCTGGGCAGGGAGTGGATACAGTTTCAGGTTGGATTATGAAAAACTAGTTAGCTTCTATCTTGCATATGACCACCTGTGGAGAAGCCTGGGTCTAGAGGAGAGCCAAACTAGAGTTCCTAGCAGTGCATCAAATTACGTACCTGGTAATTCTGTATCTGAAACATAATTAATTTCTAATGTACAAAAGCCACAAAGGAATGGTTGTATTTTTTACTCGAAAACTTAACTTTGGTTTCTTATTTCTGTGGACATTTGTGGTCCGGGACAGGGCAGTCAGTGAGTTTCTTTTGTGTGAGTAATGGGAATGGGAATGCTTTGAGAATGCTTAAAGGATGGCTGGAAATTAACTCATAAGGGACCATGAAATATTTGAAGTAAAAATTTGAACCCATGCAATACTTTTGCTTTTCTGATCTTTCCTCAAACTTTACTTTTTAGGCTAATGATGCCTATTTGCAGATGGCCATTGGAAATGCCCCTTGGCCCATTGGTGTCACTATGGTTGGTATCCATGCCAGAACTGGTAGAGAAAAGATTTTTTCCAAGCATGTCGCACATGTTTTAAATGATGAAACACAGCGGAAATATATTCAGGTAAGCATTTTAGGGGGAAAGAAATTTTTCTGGTGCTTTATTTTCTATGAAATTCCCCAAACTATTAGTTTTGAGAACAGAAAAAGAATTACAACAAAAGAAACAAAATATGATAGGATAAACAATCACAGTTTGTAAGTGCAGTACATATATTTAAGCTTTTTTTTTTATTCTACTTTTTTCTTCTGTTTATTTTGCTGTATGATATTGGTAAAGCTTTTTAATAAAGTTTTTATTGTGAATTGAGTGATAGTTTACATGGGAGAACATCCGTTTTACACTCAGTGAAGTTTTGTTTCATTGCAATGATTATACTCCCTTCCATGCATCATCATTCAAAAGCATTTGCTTCTATTCTCTCTCTCTTTTTTTTTTTTTTCAGATGTACACAAAAACACTCAGGAATATATAATCATTTAAACAACTAAAGGGCACATTCTACAAGCCTGCCTCCTGGCTGCCAGCACACAGCCTTTCCCTTTCCTGAGTCTAGCTAGAGTCCTCAGTATTTAAGCTTTTTGAACTGAACATATTTAAGGAGCCCTAGTAGTGGTTATGAATCGGGGTGTGAACCGCAGGTCAGCAGTTCGAAACTACCAGCTGTTCCATGGGAGAAAGATGAGGCTTTCTTCTGTAAAGATTTACAGCCTCAGAAACCCTGTACAGGGTCGCTCACTATAAGTCAGAACCAACTCCGTGGCACATAACCACCACCACCAGTGTGGAGTCCTGAAGTATCCCCCATTAGTCAGGGATCTGACATTAGTCTTTCTGGACAGATCATACTATGTCTTGTTGTGGTGCCGTAGGATAAGCAACAGACCTGTTGCTGTGGGTTAATGCGCCAGATTGCAGAGCCATTTGAACTGCAAGGTTGGCAGTTCAAGCTCAACAGCCGCTCCTCAGAAACCCTATACAGGGTTGCTATGGGTCAGAACTGACTCAACGGCACTTAAAAACAACAAGTGGCACTGTGGGATATGGATTGGACTGTTAACCTCAAGATTGGCCATTCAAACCCACCAGCCTCTCTGAGGGAGAAAGGACTGTCTGCTCCTGTAGAGATTTACAGTCTCAGAAACCCTCTGTGGTGGCACTTTGAGTTGGAATCACCTTGATAGCAGTATGTTTGGGTATGGGGTATATGATGTAAAACAGGGTGAAGTGTTGTATTTTTTAGCATTGTTGTTGTTAAGTACCATGGAGTCAGTTCCGACTCATAGCGACCCTGCACAGAGTTTCTGAGACTGTAAATCTTCACAGGAGCAGCCTCATCTTTCTCCAGCAGAAGGGCTGGTAGTTTCAAACTGCTGACCGTGAGGTTGGCAGCTCGACTCGTAACCACTATGCTACCAGAGCTCCGTAGCATTAAGTAGCATTTAAGAGCACCTCCATGGTGAAGTGAGTCATAAGTGTTTTTTAATTTATTTTCTTTAAACTGCGCATGTCCCACATAAACTTCTTAGCGCTCTTGTTAGATTAGGTATTCCTTCTTAGTAGGGGAAAAAACAACTAAAATTAGGTTTTTCCCAACGATCATAAATCCCAGATTGTGTCCATGCAATGACCTTTGCTGGATGTTAACTCTAAAGCAGTCTTGAAAATGATACTCTAGAAGTTTAATTAAAATATAAAGTTCCCTTAAAATTCGTAAAGTACTTCCAGATTTTTATGCCAGAGAAGAATCATTACCATATTTATGAATTGTCTTTTGTATGTATTTCAATTCCAAATACTCAGTGTGGGTTTGTATGTCAGGCTTTATGCCTCAGTCACAGGTATTGGCATTTTAAAATAGGATTTCAATGTTTTGCAAGTTCAGTCAACTTGAGACAGAAGAAATTACTAGAATTCTTCAATTTCATCATCACGGGCTTTAGTGGTTGATACATAAATTTGAATAATGGTTGTATTAACTGGTTTCCTTGTAGATGTATGGATATTATCCTGCCATAGACAGCACTGTACTTCAAGATAGATCTTGAAATGTTCTTTTTGTTCATGAATGCGACGCCATTCCTCGTCACTTTGTCATTCTCGGCATAGTAGACCACATGATTGTCAGATTCAGAATGGCCAATACTAGTTCATTTTACCTCACTAAAGCCTAGAATGTCTAACTTTATGCGTTCCATTTCATTTTTTACAACTTCCAATTTTCCTAGATTCATACTTCATACATTCCGTATTCTGATTATTAATGAATATTTGCAGTTGTTTTTCCTCATTTTGAGTTGTGTCCCCTCAGCAAATGAAGGTCTTGAGACCTTCATCATCACGGTCAGCTCTGCTTTGAAGACGCAGCTCTTTCCCAGTTGTATTTTGAGTGCCTTTCAACCTGACAAGCTCATCTTCAGGCACTATGTCT